TCCCTCAGCATCAATATGGTGCCCAGAGAAGCTCAAGAGGTGTTATGTTCAAAGGATATTACATGTAAGTGCTTGAAGAATTATAAGAAATGTGCCCAAATTCTGGATTACATCATGCTGAATCTTAACAAAATTACAGTGTGGTATAGACATAGATTAGCAGACCCATTGCTATATGGTTGGAAATTCATAAATATTATAAAACAGAAGAAACTGCTAACTTAATTCAATCTTTTACCTCCAATGTCCCGCTAACAAATTTACAATAAAAATGACAAGCTTATGCCAACAAGACTGAGGCAGGAGGGTTCCAAGTTCAAGCTTAAATCCTTGTCTTAAAAAAAAAAACAGCCAGGTATGATAGTGTACACCTTTCATCCCAGCACTCCTAGAGGCAGGCCAGTCTCTTGTTAGTTCAAGGCCAGCAAAGGCTACACAGGGAGACCCTGCCTCAAAAACAAAAGGAACCCCCATTTTATTCCATGCACTCTTCAGATGAAGGTGTCTCTGGAGCCGTCTATGAAGGAAGTGCTGTCTGTGTGACCCTGTCGCGGCTGCCCTGGTGGCACTGCTGTGGCAACACATGGCTTGGCTACCAAAGGTTCAGAATGTGTATGGAGACTAGCATCCCTAGAAACAAGATGCAGGTAGCAGGATAGGGGCATCGGAGAGAAGCATTAGGCTTACCAGTGCTCTGGGAACTTTGAGGTGATGTTGAGCACACTTTAGCCTCTTCAAACCATTTCAGGGTGCTTAGATACTGGCTAAAACTTAGAATTAGCCTACCCAACAGTGACTGTGGGGATCAAAAGTGTGAAGTGTGCTCCAGAGACTGAATATACTCTTGTCTCTCTTGATTCTGTGGTATCCATGCTAAATGATTAGGTCTAATAGCTGAATTCCTGTTCCTTAGGAACATGTCTGGTCAGGGCCATTTAGCACACAGCGGCCACACTGTACTTTATTATGCACTGAGCAATGACGCATTTGACCCTTTCTGTCCCACCCCCAATCTTGCAGAGCACGTGTACGAACTGCAGAGGAACCTTCTGTAACGCCTGCATGGCAGAGGAACTGCCTCTTCCTTCTAGCATCAAGCCGGAACGAGTGTGTAATCCCTGTCACAAACAGCTGATGAAGCAGTATTCCACCAGCCCATCCTAAGACTGGAGACCAAGACCCAGGCCAGAGTGTTGATGCTGGGCCTCTCCCTCCACATGTTAGATGCAGGATGTCCTGGAACCAGTCCTCAGAACCAACCTTAGTTGGTAGCAAAGATAGAAGTAAACCAGGTCCACGGGGCAAGGCCGCAGTTGGAGGTGCTCGAACCTTTGCTCATCTGCTCTAATGAGTGTATAAATAAAAACTGCTGAGCCTTTCTCAGCACCTAAACAAGCCCACTTTGGAGGGTTTAGAGGCAGTCTTTGGCCTTTTTTATATCTAGGAGGTGATAAAAAGTGGGCTGTAGCTGAGTGGAAAAGCACTGCCTAGCAAGTATGAGACCCTGACTGCAGCATCACTGCCGAAAAAGATGCAAGGAAACATAACATTACATTTCCATTCTCAGGGGGTAACAAGATGTTGCCAGGCGGTGGTGATGCACATCTTTAATCCCAGCACCCGGGAAGTAGAGGCAGGCAAATCTCAGTGTTCTAGGCCAGCCTGGTATCAGTGAGTTTCAGGACAGCTAGGACTGTTATACAGAGAAACCCTGTCTTGAGAGAAATAAAAACAAACAGTTGTTGCCCAGGTGCTGCTGAGTTTCCTCTCACCCCCACTACCTACCTCTTTAACCTGCCAACTGTGAACCCAATCTCAGGGAAAGAAATTAAGAGTAATATAAATTCTGAATGTATTGGTAATAATATTGTAATGCATTATAATTTCAGGACCAGATTTTCTTTGTGGGGGTGGGGGGACACCTATAAGGGTTTTGTGTGAACAAGAATATCTGTTTTTTTCCGTAATGGCCCCAGAAGAATCTGCTCTCTTAGGATCCCTACCACAGCAAGTCATCTCTGTTACCCAGTCCCTCCCTCTTGCGAGTAGATTAAAGTAAAGCTAAGCCAGGTACTCGTAATTTGTCAATGGCTGACAGGAACTCAACATTTAACTGTTCACTTGATAAGAAGTCCTTAACTACAGATCAGAACCCATAGGCAGGGTTCTTGGAAAGATAATATTCAAACATCTCTTAGTAATAAACCCTCTGTAGAAGAGTGGGGGCGGGACACACTGAAAAAAGACTGAAAGAAATGGTTTCATTGCTGATTATGTTGTATGTTTGGATTGTTTGATTCCAGTTAAGACTCAGAAGACATGATTCTATGCATGCGTGGAATTCCGGGCTAAATGATGGGTACTGACAAATCTGTCTCCTAGAAAGGGGGAAAGCCCGGGAAAGTTGGTATTTCAGAAGATAGTTCGCCTGCAGGTGACACTGAAGTTTAAGAATATTAGGAGGAAATAAAATTAGCAATTCTAACCTACTGTGTTGGCTGCCTCTTTTTAAATGTCTTTATGTGAGTGAGTGTTCTCCTCTATGTGTGTGTGTCCAGGAGGTCAGTTCCCCTAGAACTATAGAGACAGTTGGGAAATTCCCTGTGAATGCTGAAAACTGAAAGAGCAGCCAGTGCTCTTAACCACTGAGCCATGTCTCTAGCCCCTGTCTTTTTTTTTGTTTTACAAAATACTTTTTTGGGGGTGGGTGGCTTGAGACAGGGTTTCTCTGTGTAGCCCTAACTAGGAGCTAGCTTCGTAAACCAGGCTGGCCTCGAATTCTGCCTCCTGAGTGCTGGAATTAAAGGCATGTGCTACCACCGCCTGGCATGCAATTGGGGGGGGGGGGGTGTTGTTGTTGTTCCTATTGTTTTTGGTGACAAGAGTCAGCAGTTTTCGGGACTATATATGAGGGGCAGAAGGACTAATTAGCTTTGAATTAAGGAGCCAGCTGCTTAGCATGGAATATAAGAATAAATACAGATTTGAGGCTGTTATTTTGTACCATCATCCCAAAAGCAAAAACAAGGAGTCAAGTCACGAATACTCAAATGTAAGTATCCCTAGGGAATCTTCCTTAAAAATTGCTTCCTAACATTTAACAGCATCAACCAAGTAAAAGTGAAATAAACTAGATGCAAGAACTCACACAGTAAAAACTACAGAATGTTCCACATGAAATTAACTGACACTATGTTCATAGACTAGAAAACATCACCATGCAAACACTGCAGGAGGCAGGCCCTGAATCCACACTAAAAGCCTAGGCAAAGGGATCACAAATTTAGGGCCTGACCTACATGGGAAGATCCTTTGGGGGGGGGGTATCCCCATACCATCCAAATTTTCTGCAGAAATGGAGGGGGTTCTTTCCTAAGATTTTATTCATACAATTTCAAGGAACTTCCTAGTCAACTCTATAAAGTATATATATATATATATATAATGTCAACACTTCAAACTACAGTAACCACGTCAAAATGATACTGGCATAAAGCACAGGCAACCTAGAAATAAACCTGTTAGTATAAATCTCTGACAAGGGTGCCAAGACCACTCGCTACAACAAAGTATTGAGAAAACTAGACACCCATGTGCACAGAAATAAAGATGGACTCTTGTAGCACACAAAAAACAAAGTTGACCAGCACAAAGTGTAAGAGCTAAACTTCTGAAAAGGCTTCATGGCATTGGATTTAGTGATGACGTTCTAGATACAACATAAAAGCATAGGCAACAAAAGAAAAATCTGCAGAAATAAAAGTCTGTCTAGTTGAGTTTGTGTAGGACTATAGTCCCACCAATTCAGCAGGTGAAGGCACTGCAGACCCAAAAGCTGAAAATTTCTGCAACTTATCCAGTGTGCTGGCCAGTTTTCTGTCAGTTTGACACATCTGCTCCCTCCCGGCAGCACCAATTACCTCAAAGAGGCACCAAAGAAACTCCAAATGGAGTTTGCTTTCTTTATGGCAAAAGCTAGCCATGTAGGCAAAGAAAATGCCCTTGCCTCAATTGCTACCAGACACATTCCAAACTGGACCAGCAGGATACAAGAAAGGCAACTGCCAAACTTTGCTCAGACAAGTAGAACGGTTCTTCAGAATTCCCTGCTTCACAGGAACATCGGTCAGGTATGCTAAGCCTGTAGACCAGAGGAACTTTGGGTGACTGTCCAGGCAGCTTGAGATTAGGTCATTATGTTACATTTCACCCCTTCTGGGTCTGATGGAGTTGAATACTAGGTAGTTATAGCTTTTCTCCATTATAATAAAAGATAAGTTAGGTACAAAACTTTGGACTTCCATAGTAAGTTTTTTCTCTAACTTTGTCAAATACAAATAGACTAAATATTGTAATTATAATTAAAACCTTTTTAATTATGATAAAAAGGAGAAAATGCTGTGGAATAATCATCTTGTACACTGTAAAGATTCGTCACTTGTATTGGTTTAATAAAATGCTGATTGGCCAGTAGCCAGGCAGAAAGTACAGGTGGGGCAACAAAACTAAGGATGTTGAAAGGAGAAGGGTGGGGTCAGGAGTCACCAGCCAGATACAGAAGGAACAGGAGATGAACGTGCCATGCTAATAAAGGTACCACGTGGCAGAGCATAAATACGGAATATGGATTAATTTAAAATGTAAGAGCCATTTAGTAATAAGCCTGAACTATCAGCCAAACATTTACAAGTAATCATAAGTCTCTGAATGGTTATTTGTAAACTGAGAGGCAGGAGAAATGTCTGACTACAGTAGGAACAGTAGATTCAAGTGCAGCTGCAGTACCAGTGATAAAACTTCAGAGAGGATTTGGAAACCTCAAACTAGGGATTACCTGGTCCTAGACCAGATTCCTCAAACAAGAACATCTCACACACACACAGAGAGACAGACAGGAGGGGGGGGAGAGAAAGAGAGAATGAGCAATATCTGTTGGCGGCAGCTGTCACCCCAAAAACAAGGTAAAGAAAATATACAGGACTTTGATTGTTTTACACAGGTATACATAAAGTTAAGTTTATTAATGACTATTTTTGAAGCCAGCCATTTTGTCCAATATTTAAATAACAAGCTATTTAGTATTAAAGCAGAAGATACTGCCACAGTGTGACAGAAATACAGCTCTATTCATAAACCCTTCACACAATTATATATTAAATCCTAGTTTTATTTAAGCAAGGCACCCCTACTTGTTCTAGAATATGGGGTGGCTACCCCACTGGAAAAGCAAATGAGGAGAGTCGGATTGTTTTATTTCCAACTAGACCTGGTTTAAATCAAGTGAAGCTATGAATGTCCTTACAGTCTGGACTGCTTTGATGTCACTTTATGATTTCAAACCTAACAAACAGCCTTATGATCTGTCCAAAACAAAAACAAAAAAAGATAAAGAAGGAAAGAAAGAAAAACGGTAAAGAGAGACTCAGTGAAATTTTAAATTAGCCTAAACTTCTGATACAGACAGGTGCCAACGTTAAAAGCCTTTATAGGTCAAGGCTTAGGGAGGCAGAGTGATTCTAGTGTTTCTAAAGACAAAACTGCCAAGTGACCACTTGTGCTCAATAACCTGTAGTTTGTACTTTTTTTAAATTTCTACCCCTAGGCAATCAAATACAGACAAAATTAAACACTACTTGACCAAATCACACGGCCTTATTAAAGTTCTGAAACCTTCCCTTGCTTTGGTAAGTGTCTGGTATAAATACACCACTATTTTATTTCATGAGAAATTTTATATCACAGCTCTCAGTCATAGGCAAAAACAAGCAGGAATAAGGTTCTAAAGAGCAGCATTGAATGGAAACATCTTACAACTGCAGTATATCCTCTATGACAGAAACTACGTTACAGAAACCAGACTTTTCCCGTCAGACCCAGGACTGTTTAAATGGAATTTTAAATTTGTAGCTTATTTCATAATCCTAAACTGAATCTTTCTCGACCTAAACATTCCACTGTGAATTTTCCTTCAGAGCACTGTCGTCAGATGCCCAGATCCTTTCTCTAGCGGTCACAGCCAATCAACTGGATCTTTGTATCCCATGTTCAAGAGAGATGTGCAAAGGATATGCTTCCTGCTTCATCCTGAAGATAAAAATAAATAAAAAAATAATTATTTATTCACAATAAAAGATGTTTACATGTTTTCCTACATTACTTAAAGTGACAAATTCAGCTTCACCCCACTAAACTAGTGCAAATTATCCAACAAATCAATTAATATAGATAAGGAAAATTAGACATTAGTGTATGCACAGAGCCTAGAATCCAGAAGTGAACATAAAAATATATTTTGTGGAGAACCGAGCTAAAATATGTGTTTAACAGTTACAATGTATTGATGCTTTATGTCCAAAAAATATATTACCTGTGTTTTTAAAAGACAGTAAGTTCCTTAAAGAATCCATCACCACATTCAAAAACAACTAAAGTGCTATATATTGAATACATGTAAACATTTAAGGAAAAAGGGCACTTCGAACTCATAACTCAAGCCCTTTCTAAAAAGCCAAAACAAACAACAGAAAGCTCAAACAGCCAAATTCACTCTGAATCAATGATAGGAATGTCAGGTAGAGCACTCACCCCTCATCAGAGAAAAACTATTACAGGGACCCAAAACAGGCAACGTGCAAAGAATGACAGTGGGTGGCCAGCCCCACTGACACATGCACTACACAAGCCCACCCCTAGGGCTCAGGGAGAACCTCATAAGGGGGAGAGTGGTGGAAAGGATGAGAGCCAGACACTCAGCACGCCTGCAGGAGCAGCATCTTCTAGACTTGGGAGAGGAGGCTGCACAGTGAAATCTCAAGAGTATGGCTGCCTGTAAGACCTACATAATGTCACCATCAGGTGACATGTCAACATGGATGGAGGAAATTTCATAAGGCTGCACCTTAGATCAAGAACTATAGGCAATCAGCTGAGCTGTGATGGTGCATGCCTTTAATTCCGTCATTCAGGAGGTAGACACAGGGGGATCTCTGAGGTCAAGGCCAGCCAGGACTGTAATATACAGAAACCTTGTCTGAAACGCGCCCCCCCAAAAAAGCTATAGGCAATTCCATAGAGATGAGACCTGAAATAGGGTATCCAATCCTGAGTGCTCACCTCAAAATAAACACACAGACAACACTAAATGGACCCAGTAGGGGAAGTGTTATGTGTGCTATAAAACAATCAATGCAGTAGTCATTAATTTGAGAGGACGGAGGGGGGCATGGGAGGAACTGGACGGGAGAAGGGTAGAAAAGAATTATCTGTTGATTACAGCTATTAAAACTGTAGAATCAGTTTAAGCATACAGCATTATGTGAGGAATTATACAAAAAGAATCTATACAAAGATGATGCTTAAAGCCACCACACAATCAAATTTAAAAAATTTTTATATTGATGCTTCACAATTATTAATTAGATCTTTAGTGAAGAGAACTGTTTCTGCCATATTATCAACTAGTAAGTCTATTTTTAATTAATGTAAGTTTTTTCACAGCTGTAGCTTCATTACCTCATCATCCGGGGTTCTGTTGAACTCTTATTTTCCTTTAGGACATGAATTTAGGAACAGCTCAATATACCTATGTTCTGAATATAAAAAAAAAAAAGTTAGTTTTAGCAAAGACTAAAAGACTTAACACCCTTTTTATCCCACTTCAGAGACCAACACAAATCCTTTACCCTTTCCTAATTAGACACACACAAAGCTAAGTGTGGTGACATACACCTCTATCCCCGACTACTTGGAAGCTGGAGTGGAGGATCACTGGAGTCCCTTGAGTTTGAGATCATAGGTTCAGTAGGTTAGTCTGGATAACAGTGAGCTCCCCATCTCAAAATGATAATAATAACTGGGTGTGCTGGCCTCTATCTTTAACCCTGGGACATAGGAACCTGAGGAAAGACAACCGTGAGTCTGACACTGGTCTAGTCTACAAAGAAAGACTCTGTCCCAAGCTAAATATAAATAAACACAAAATTAAAAAAAAAAAAACCAGACATCAAGGAAAACTAAATCTAAACAGAAATAAGTAAAGCAATCAGTTTAGTAGCACTAAAGGAATGCTATTTGCCAAAGGAAAACTTCTAGGCACTTGACAGGAAAACAATGCGTCATACTCACGAACGTGGGACCGGTCCTTGAGCATAGCTGCTACGGCGTCCTCATGGGTCTTAAAGTGCACATCAGCTTCTCCAGTGGCCTTCCCACTAGAGCTGTACTCCATAGTGATCCTCACAGGCTTCAAGGGAGCAAAGAACTGAGCAGGGCCAACAAAAACAACAACAATTATGAATTGTACTTTTTTTTCCAGCGAGATGGCTCAGCAAGTAAAGGCCCTTAGCTACCAAGCCCTATACCTGAGGTTCAATTCCAGGAACCCCACATGGTGGAAAGAGAAATCTGACTCTGGCTAGGTGACTTTTGACTTCCATATACAAACCATGGTTCTCCCCACCAAAAAAAGAAAAAAAAAGATTCACACAATAGTTTTTAAAAGCTGTTGCTAAGTGCCAACAAGCCAAAATTTCCAGTCAACCATGAGAACACAATCATTACTCCACAGAATCTGCTGCTAAGCTAGGTTCAGTAGGTTAGTTGTATGAAGTGTACTTCAACTTGAGAGAGGAGTATCAGGGCACCGCCCACTGAGGCTGAGGAAAATGCAATAGGTGCAGCCTGAGTCTAAGCACCTAAACTAAAAGTAAATGGACTGAATCAACTTCCTCAAAAAACCACCTCTCCTATTCCGATGATTAACCCTACACCTTAGTTGTCTCTAAAATCCTGATTTTTCCACCTTGAATTATAATTGCTTTTTTGAAGTGCTAGGGTCAAGGATGGCCAAGCTGGCCCCAAACTCCTGGGACCACGTCCTGTGTCAGTCCCACTTCAGCTACAGAGGATGGGGACAAGCCTCTGCTGGGGTGGGATGGAGGCCTCGCCAGAAACACTGCTCCAAATTAACACAAGTTCAACTTCAGATGCACAACCCTCTGAGGCTTACTGGCACACACATTTATAATGTCTCTGAGGCTTACTGGCACACACATTTATAATGTCTTGGGCATTCGCTTGGAAAGGCAAGCCCCGCATGTGGACAAAATGGAGTGAAGGTGCAGACCCAAAGTCGACGGCCTCTGGAGGTTTCTCTGACGTCTCCTTAGGCAGTTCTGTAGAAGAAAAAAAAAATACAAGGACACAAAGCTTCCAGAGCTGTTAGCAGATAATAGATATGACCTTTAAGTCAAAATCCTCTATTCATCTTGACCCAGAGTACATGAACTTTAAAGCCAAAAACCTGAAATTTCTGCTACTTTACATCACTTAGGAACTCAAACCACTCCCAAATGAAGAATTTATCACATGTGATAATAGAATAAAGGGGCATTAATTAAACTGTAAAGTGGGCACTAAGAACAAAAAGACAGCAAACACAGCGACAGGACGACCCCAGAGCACTGGATCTATCTGTACGCACTTCCAAATTTCAAAAGACCCTAAATGTTGCTTTGGAGTCACAGATGAAAGAAAGATTTAAGGCCAAAAAAGTCCTTCGTCAACATCTCAGTCTATCCAAATCATTCCCCCCATGCCGGGCGGTGGTGGCGTACACCTTTGATCCCAGCACTCAGGAGGCAGAGGCAGGTGGATCTCTGTGAGTTCGAGGCCAGCCTGGTCTACAAGAGCTAGTTCCAGGACAGGCTCCAAAGCTACAGAGAAACCCTGTCTTGAAAAATCTAATCAATCAATCAATCAATCAACAAAAGAAACAAATCATTTCCCACTTTAGCTTAAATGCTGGCATTTTGCCTTGGTCTGTTACATTTGTACTGCACCAGCTTCTGAGCACCTACGAAATGACAGTGTAGACAGGTGGTGCCTGCGCGAAAGCCTGGTGGTCCAGAGCCACAGTGCCACAGTGGCACACAGCCATGTGATACACAAATAAACAGCCACACACACACACACACACACACACACACACACACACAAAATAGACATAATAATAAAAACTAATAAAGGACTGAAGCTTCTCTAGCAGAGGACCTGACTTCAGTTCCCAGACCATATCAGGCAACTCTCAACTGCTTTTAACTCCAGCTCTAGAAATGCCCTTTGGCCTCCACTGGTACTATCACATGGACATGGACACACATACACTAATTAAAAATAGTAATGTTTAAAACTAACAGTAGCTGTCAGCCAAGTTCAGTCAGTAATGGCACCCACCGCCAACCCTGACAACCTAGGTTCTATTCCTGGGCTCCCTAGCGGAGAGACCCGACTCTGGAAGTTGTCCTCTGACCCCCACACATGTGCATCCCCATCTGGATTCATATAGATATACATGCAAAATACATGCAAATTTTTATTTACAAATATAATTTGTGCATGTAGACTAAGTACATTGTACGCTCATATTCAATCTTTAACTCAACACCCCTATTCTGAATCTCATAATTTCATATAAGCTGACCATGAAAACAGCTCAACAAAACCTAAACATACATACAAGGCAATCCTCAGAAGAGGTAGGACCTTACCTATCTCTTTATCACTTTCAAAAGCTGTCACAGGCTGAATATCTTCATTTACTTCATGTTCTTCAAATACTACTTCTGGCTCAGTTATATATTTAGCAGAAGGAGACGACGATACCACTTTCTTTCCCTTATGAGCTCCAACATGTGTTCGAACTTCATTTCTTCTGCTTGGGAATATCTCTATGTATCTATATACAACAAAGCAAAATGAAAAGGCACAAATTAACTTTACAATAAACTTTAAAAAAATAATAATTCAGTATGTGTGGCTAGAGAGATGGCTCAGCAGTTAAGAGCTCTTGCTGCTCTTCCAGAGGATCCTTGTTCAGGTCCCAGCCCCCATATGGGGCAGCTCACAACCATTTGCAACCCCAGCACAAGGGACTCTGACATCCCCTTCTGGCATCTTGGGGCACCTGCACACACAATATACCAATTTTTTAAAAAATTAAAATAACCAGGTTATATATATGTTCCAACAGCTTATGAAACATGGATATCCAAAGACAACAGCAAGAATAAAAAGCCCACCTACACATTAATTCATGACAAGTGCTTTTGACAGAGTAGGTCAACATGATAATTTTAGTAATACTGTTGCCAAAATATCAGGCTCATTTCTGTATGTTTATGCATATGGCACTTTTTAATTAGGTAGTTTTAAATGTATGTTTTTTGAAAGAGATTATTATTATTATTATTATTTGGTTTCTCAAAAATAGGTTTTCTATGTATAACAGCCTTGGTCGTCCTGGAACTCAACTCTGTAGAACAGGCTGGCCTCGAACTCAAGACTTGCCTCTGCCTCCCAAGTGCTGGGATTAAAGGCGTGCACCACCACTGTCCAGCACTTGGGAGGTAGAGGCAGGTGGATCTCTGTGAGTTTAAGGCCAGCCTGGTCTACAGAGAAAGTTCTAGGACACAGAGAAACCCTGTCTCAAAAAACCAAAAAAGAAAGAGTAAGAGTACTGAGAGATACTGTTCAGCTTTTAAGAGATAAGACTCAGGGGGAGATGTTTTCTGCACTGACTGTGGAAAGTTCTCAGGCCACTAGAAAACTATTACATAAATCTGACCATACATAACTTCAGTCATTTTCAAGCTTCCTTTTCCAAAATGTATTTTTTAATTTTATTATTATTGTGCAAATTACTGCAGAATATTTGATCACACTGACCCCCAAAATTGCATTATTTTCTAGTTGTGGTGTGGCCTAGCACACACCTTTAATCCAAGAGCTTTCTGCTTGAATATTGTAAACAGGATTAAATAGAGTCAATTATAGGTCAAGAGGCAGAGAAGCAACTAGTCAACAGGAAGTGAACAGAAGATTATTAAGAAAAAAAACAGAGTAAGGGGGAGTCAGGAGGAAGGATGGAGACACACACAGGAAATAGAAGGGAGGGACATTCAGTTTGGGCAGAAGAGAGAGGCAGAGAAAGGTCAGCTGGGTGCTTGCTTCCTCTGTCGTTTTCACCCCAGCATGTAGTTCCCAAATCTTTATTGGTAAAAATCGAAAGACTAAGATTTTGTTAAAAACAGCACACGTGGGGCTGGAGAGATGGCTCAGAGGTTAAGAGCATTGCCTGCTCTTCCAAAGGTCCTGAGTTCAATTCCCAGCAACCACATGGTGGCTCACAACCATCTCTAATGAGGTCTAGTGCCCTCTTCTGGCCTTCAGGCATGCACACAGACAGAATATTGTATACATAATAAATAATAAATAAATAAACTTTGTTAAAAAAAAAAAAAAAACAGCACACGTGCAAGTCTGAGTGTTTGTGTGGAAGTCAAAGAACAGCGTTGTGGAGTCTGTTTTCTCTTTCAGCCCTGACATGGGTCTGGGGGTTAAGCTCAGTCCTTAGGCTAGAGAGTAGGCACTTTACCCTTCTAAGCCACCCTCCCAGCCCACGATGTATTATTTGTTTATTCACACACTAACTGCTCTTGGCCATTCAGGATAAAGGTTTTGAGGGGCTGGACTCCAAAACCCCACCACACTGGACTTTTAAGCATCTAAAACTTGAAACTAAATAAGCACATTCTTTTGTAAAGTCAGCATACCCTAAAAATTTCTTATAATAATGAAAAGCAGACAATTTTTTTGTTGTTGTTGGAGCCAGGTGGTAGTGGCACACACCCAGCACTTGGGAGGCAGAGGCAGATGGATCTCTACAAGAGCTAGTTCCAGGACAGGCTCCAAAGCTACAGAAGAACCCCTGTCTCAATAAATAAATAATTTTTTTTGTTCTTTTTCTTTCCACAGCTAACAATCTCAAGGGCTTACAGGTAGATTTTGCATAGTTAATTCTATATAAAACACTAAAAGCTATAAAGAAATTCTCCAGAACTTCACCAAGCAGCTAATGAGAAATTCAAGAATTATCCTAATACCATCAGACACAGTGGTACACACCTTTAATCCCAGCATTAGGGGTGGAAACAGGAAGATCAAAGTTTCAGGCCAGCATAGGATACAAATCAAGCTGGGGAGCCAGCGAGATAGCTCAGTGGGCAATGGCGCTGCTACCAAGCCTGACGGTGTGATTTTGATCTCAAAAACACATGCGAGAGAATGATGTCCCAGTTGTCCTGTGACTCCAAAGACAAGCTTTGGCACACGTATGCACTCATATGTATACACGCACTTAAATAGAGAAGTTTTAAGCGAATGCAAATTTAAGGCCAGCCTGGGTTCCAGGGTAAATAAATGAGCACTGTTCACTGATAAAGCACCTCACTTAGCATACACAAAGCCCTAGGTTCCGTCCTTAAGCCCCAGGAAGGACAGCTAAGAAGATCAAATGAACACCACTTCTTTGAATAACAGCAGCGGTGACACACACATTAATATTCAGGAGGCAGAGGTTCAATATAGCAAGTCTGAGCCAGTCTGGTCCATTTTGTAAATTTCAGGCTAGTCTAGGCTACGAGAAAGACCATGTGCCAATAGGTAAGAGCACTTGCTCTTTCCGAGGAGCCAGGTTCAATCCCCATCATCCATATGGTGGCGCACACCATCACTAACCCCAGTTCCACCAGATCCAACAAGAGGCATGCATGTGGTACACATATATGCACACACACAAACCAGTCACAGATAAACAAAAATAAATCAATTCGCTTAAAAAAAAAAAGTCCTTGTACCCTCCAGAAGAACCCAAGAACTCTGATCAGTTCAAGAGGATCCTGAAATACACAAGCTTTGAAAAGCTTCTTCTCCTTTTAATTTTAAAAGGAGCAAAGTAAAAGGCAACAAAACAGCCTGGAGTTGGCTCAGCAGTTAAGAGCATTTATTCTTGCAGAGAACCCTGGCTCAATTCCCAGCACCCAAATGGTGGCTCACAACCATCCTAACTCCAGTTCCAGGGGATCTGACACCCTCTTCTGACATTCCTGGGTAATAGGCATGCATGCAGTGTCCAGATAATCCATGTGAACAAAACGTAAGTAAATCTAAAAAATTTTTCTAAAGAACATTGCAAAACAGTGATTTTAAAAAGTGTAAAAATTTTTTAACCTCCAAAAATGAAGATAAGCACAGATCTCTCCTACCTCATTTTTATTATATTCTAATATGATCAGAACATGAAACACTAAACAAGACAACTGACTTCAAGAAGCTGATCACTGTATTTTTAAAAGGGGAGGGATGGATGGGCTAAGGAGAAGGCTCAGATGCTTGCTACATATGCATGAGGCTGAGTTCAGATCCCCAGTATCAATGTAAAAGCTGGGTGTGGTAACCTATCTTTGACCTCAGAGCTGGAGGGGAAGAGGGCAGAGCCAGATGGATCTCAGGGACTTGCTGGCCATCAGTCTGGCTAATCAAGCCCCAGGTTCAGTGAAGCTGAATAAGTAAGGTGGAAAGAAATTGAAGAAGATACAATATTAACTTCTGGCCTCCAACATCGTCATGTACATGCACACACAGTAATACACCACAAACACATAAAATGGAGAGAAACTGCTGGCGGTGGTGGCTCACGCCTTTAATCTAATGCCAGCACTCAGAAGGCAGAGGCAGGCCACTATGAGTCTGAGGCTAGCCTGACCTTCAGAATGAGTTCTAGGATAACTAGGGCTACACAGAGAAGCTGTTTTGAAAAAAAAATAAAAAAGAAAAAAAAGAATAAAACAAAATAAAGGAGAGGGACTGTAAAAAAATGTGGACGTGCTCTAGTTTCCTAAAATTGGTGGTATTTGTGCTACAACACATGGACTATCTGAAGGGCTTAGATCCTGGCTCACAAGTCAACTATAAAGATATTCTTGTTACAAATGGGAAAATGTGATGGACTGTGGGAGCTATGAGCAATATTTTAATAGGTGCTAATGTTGTTAAATGTTACAATATTGTGATTATGAAAGAAAACCTCATTAAAAGCACCTACTAAACAAAAACAACAAAGAAAGTTTTTGCTTGGCAGTGGTGGCAGCTGGGAGACAGAAGCAGGTGGATCTCTGAATTTGAGGCCAGCCTGTTCTACAAAGCTAGTTCTAGAACAGCCAACACTACACAAAGAAATCCTGGGTTGAAATACAAAAACAAAGGGAACACAGAACACGGCTACACTCGGATTTTAGGACTACCTGTCACTTAGACCTCACTCAACATTATCGAAGAAACGAATCTGAGTGATGAGCACTTAGTGGTTCGCTGTGGCATACCTACTTTTCTAGGTCTGGACAACTTGACATCAACGCACTCATCAAAATGACCTGGCCACCGGCTGCTCCACTCACCTGTTCCCAATCTCTTCCCTATGCTTTAGAAGCGCTTGGCTGGCCATGTCTGGTTCTTCAAACTGTACATAGGCTTCCCCTGTTTTTCTTCTTCCTCTATAGTCCATCACAAAAGTAATGTCTACTATGTTCAGTCCTAGAATACAAAAGAATTTACAAATCAGTGCTGCCAACAGCACTTTCTTCATTAGAGTTCACAAGTTTATTCATGCACTAATAAAATTTAGGTACTATTTGCCAACTTCAAAGCTGTACAAGCACAAGGACAAACAGTTATTATGTAACCCAAACCTCAGAACTTACCAGGCAAAGGCAGGAATATACAAAAGCAAGGTCAGACTTGGCTTCATAGTATGTTTGTGAAGCCCGGAGAATGTTACAAATAAACACACATGTCTGTGTGTCTGTCTCTCTCTCTCAAAGCTTTTCCACAGTCCTCCACCCCCGCCTCCTTGGGCCACTGGTTATAATTTAGGACACAAGCAAAGTTACTGACATGCACATTTAGCAGTTAGAAGTTAGATGATGCTTTTCTTCCTCCTCCTCCTACGGTGTAGCGATCAAAGGTGTGCACTGCCATACCCAGTTTAGGTGGCACTGGGATCTAATTCAGGGCTTTGCGAATGCTAGGCAAGTGTTCTACTAACTGAGCTACATCTCCAGCCCCGATGCTTTTAAGTCATGTAAATTATTATTGTCTCAGACAAATATGACCACTATTTTAAGAAAATAGTTTCTTCATAGTTAAACAAATGTCATGGAACAACTCTGAAAGTTGACATGACCCAAAGATCTGCCTGAAAGGCTGACACATCTCAGAGGTACAGAAGGAAGAACAGCACTGGGAAAGAGCGCATCAGTCCAAACACGCTATAACTGCCAAGCACCTGCAAAGAAGTCGACAATGTCTTTCTCGTTGCAGCTATAAGGAAGTCCTCTCAAGCGAACCACACCGTCATTTACCACAGGAGAAGACTTGACCTGCAGGTTCTTCATTAAGGCATCCACATCTTCATTGTTTATCTCATACACTACAGAAAAAAAGCATAAAAATGGATTCGAAACTTACATAACCAAGGAAACTCAACTTTAAAAAAATCAATTACACTGCTACTTAAATTCAAACATTAATAGTTTTAATCCTTATGAATTTCTGTCAAGAATGTATTAAGTAACATTCATTGAATATTTACTGTGTTCCAGTTATAACCTTAAAAACTGAGATTGAGCTAAGGAGACAGGTCAGTAGTTCCAAGTACACTAGAAACCATAAAATGGAAGGAGAGAATCATCTTCTTAGAATTGTTCTGTGGTATTACCTTGTGGACCCTACCACACAAATAATCAGAAAAACTATCTTTAAAAACAAAACAAAGCAGAGCTGAAGAGACAGCTCAGCAGCTAAGGGCATGTAATTTTCTCCAAGAAGACCCAATCTGGTTCACAACAGTCTACTAACTCCAGGTGCAAGGGATCTGACACCTGCCACCCTCAGGGCACCAGCATTCACTTGAACATTCCACAGACAGACAGACACGCACGCACGGCCCCCACACACACACACTTCACTTTCACAAGCTGTAAAATTAACATTTTATTTGAAAAATGCTATATAATGAAACCTAATTCTTAGTAAGCTAATAAAATCTGTACGATGTGTAACATTTAAGTATGCACCACTGTTAAAGATCACATGACAACTGCCTTGAAAAGTTTAAAGTTGGAACCAGAGCCTACACACCTTCCACATAGCGCTGCCCCATGTACATCCGGTGCTTTTCTAAGGCCTTCTGCACGTCCTGCTCGGACTCCATCTCAATTAAGGCATCACCCCTCCGTTTCCCATCTCTATTTAAGAGGAAATGGACTCCATTTTCATTGTTGCGGATTCTGCAGTCTAAAAATATATGATTAAAGTCACTTAAAAATAGAAATCAAAGTTTTGTCTCAACTTTACATATCACTACAATGCAATTTTCCAACAATGCAGGAACCAAAGCTGCCCACCAAATCTTTTCATCTTTTTCATGGACAATATATTTTTTTAAATATTTATTTATTTATTATGTATATAATATCCTGTCTGTGTGTATGCCAGCGGACCAGAAAAGGGCACCAGACCCCATTACAGATGGTTGTGAGCCACCATGTGGTTGCTGGGAATTGAACTCAGGACCTTTGGAAGAGCAGGCAGTGCTCTTAACCTCTGAGCCATCTCTCCAGCCCCTGGACAATATATTTTTATCATATTTCCCCTCCTTTAACCACTCTCCCAGATTCTTTACTTAAACCATTCAAATGCTAATGAAGGGTGGTAGAGTCTAAAAATGTTCCAAGTAAAAAAGATCTGTGGTGCATGCCTTTAATCCCAGCACTTGGGAGACAGAGGCAGGCGGATCTCTTGAGTTTGAAGGCAGCCTGGTCTACACAGGGAGACCCTGGGAGAGGCAGCCCCCCCCCCCCAAAAAAAAAAAAAAAGCAAACCAAGCACAGAAGCTCATCACTCACTGCCCAGCCATTAAATGACAACTTGTTTAATCCTAATCGCCTTCCTTTGAAAACATATCCATAAAGTACTTGCTACAAAAATAATCACTACAATAATCTAACCTTGCCCCCTTTCCCGACACCAAAAGACAACTTTATACTGCCCATTTCTTATCATGGAAACCCAAGACATAGGCAATCAGGGGCTTACAGAACATCAGACCCACATGACACCATCGAGTTTACAGTGGCTGATACATTTAGTTTAAGAGGAAAATATAAAATCACAGTCAGAGGAATAATAAAAACTAACCACACACTAGGAAATCCCCCAAATGTATTAATAGGAGGACTCAGTGCAACTTATCTAAATGCATGACAAGAGCAGCTTCTACAGATTCCCATGGACATAGTCAAGCACATAGGAAAACAAGTGTTAACTGATCTCACACTCTGTCATTTTAACATGACTTCAAGTATGTACTACATATAGCACCCACAGTGTTATGGTATGAAGAGGTAACCCGTCCTCACCCTGAGAGAGAGAGCTGCCTTCAGAGCATCTAGACTTGGATTTTTGTAGGACTACCTTCCACTCAGACCAAGCTACTTCCTTAAAACACATACCTTAAAAGACATACCTGAGAAAAAGTTAAGAACATCCTCCACAGTGCAGGACCAAGGCAGTCCCTGAGCTCGAATGAGATAGACATCATCCACCTCCTGGCCTAACTTGGATGGGCTCAGTTCGTACTCAGGGAGCGGCGGGAGGTCTTCCAGGTAGTTAGTTTTGGACTCCTTTCAAGAAAAAAGAATTGTAAAAGCATTTCTTGGACAACCTGCTTAGAAAATGCTTACATCTCCAAACAGATGCACACGAGATTACTTCAGGTAGAAAGCACACTTCTCACCTTCTGCTTCTGTTTCGGTTTTGAGAGTGTCTCTCCATGTGGCCCAGGCCGCCCCAACCTCACCATAATCCTCCTGCCTCAGCCTCCAGAGTGCTGGCTATAGTCTTGCTATATACCAGTGCAGCTTTGTTTGGGGTTTATATTTGATAGCCTAAGATAACATACAAGTATGTTCTGGAGGTAGTACATGCACTGAAGCCACCACTGCCTTCCCAACACTGGCAGTAAGAGTGCGTCCATTAAAATCGGTACAACAGCTCCTTCAATTGACTATACTTAAGGGCCCCATACACACAAATCACATCAGGCCATCTCAAAGCACTGACTATCTAGAACAAGGTTAGATACTGAACAAGATGCCTTAAGTGTTATAATTAAAATACAAAGTATTTTAAAATTTCAAAAAATACAGAAAAAAGAATAAACACACAAGATGGCCTTACAAGAGTTATAAAATATAAGACTTTCCGACTTGAAAAAATGGCTATCTCATTTGTCTAAACTGGACAGTAAAAGTAAGAGTCAGACTCTGCCTGGCAAAGAGAACTCAGGGCCACACAGTAGCCGATGATGGCCTTGCGTGTTGGACTCCATGAAGGATACTTAACTCTGTAGGCAAAGGAAGTTAATAAAGAGACATTGAGATGTGGATAAAAGATGAACGTGAGAACAAGAGGATGCTGGAAAGAACATCAAAGGCTGAGACACTCACTGCTACTTTCCCGAGTTTTCCCAGAATTCCATAAACATCAGGCTTTTGCAGAGAAGGGCAGCAGAAAGTATTGGGCCGGGATTCAAATCAATTAGCTCAGCTACTGGCAGACATGAGCCATGCAGATTAACCTCCCAAATATCATAAATTCAAGCAGACGCAAAACTGAATTAAGATAAACATGGCCCGTGGCATCAGGGGGTAGGGAGACCAAAAGCGTGCGGGCACTTCCCCCGATTCCACCTAAGACGCGAAAGCGAAACGCTTCACATACAGAGGACAAAATAGTTGCAATATGAATTTTTTAAACGTCTTTCTTAAGAGAAGGGAAACGATAAAGAATGAGAGCGCAGGTTCACATCTGTGGCCCCTAAACCCTCACCCACGGTCCCCTCGCCCAATACTCGTTGCCCCCCCCAGCTTCCCACGGTCTCCCCTGAGCTCCCCGCATCCGCGGACACCCGCGGCCCGAAAGGCCCTTCTGTCAAGACAAGTGGACTTGCAGAGGTGACCTTCAGTCAGGTGGACGGCCGCCCGCTCCCCGCGGACGCGGGAGAGGGGCGCGCGGGGTCCGTCCCCAGGTTAGCCCACGTTCCCGTGCGCGCGGGGCTGCGCGTCGGTGGCCGGCCGAGGAGGCCCGAGCCGCCCGGCCTACCGATCCCACCACACGGCCGGCCCCGACCCTCCGCGGGCTCCGGCCTCTCAGCTTCCCCTCCGGCGGGCAGAAGGCTAAGGAGGGGACGCGGGATGGGGGGCGTCGGGCGGCCCCCCCAAAACCTACCATGGGCCCGGCGGGAAACAAGGCCTCAACATTCACCCCAGCCACACTTACACTGCCCAACCGCCCAACCGTCGGAGGGAACAAAACAAGGAGAAAAGCCGGGGCCGGGAGAGCGTCCCTTGTTCCCGTGCCCAATAGGAGGACGGAGCGGGAGGGAGGCGGGGGTGCGGCGCGTGCCGCGGATCCCCGGGCGCGCACGCGAGGCGCACGCGGACGGCGCGGACGGGCACGGGCGCGCGGCCGCCACCTACCTGGCTGTAGCCGCGCGCCGGGCCCACGGCGGCCGCCAGCGACGGCGGGAGCAGCGGGGCGCGCAGGGCCGAGTAGGAAGCGGCGGCGGCCGCGGCGGCGGAGGGTCGGGCAGGCACGGGACCCGCCAGTCTCTCGGCGGCCGCGGGCCCGAGCTGCAGGCCGCGCGTCTGCGAGGCGGTGGCCGCGGCGGCCCCGAGCAGCAGCAGCAGGCGGCGGCGGCCCGAGACGCCCGACGGGAAGGTGCCGGCGGCTGAGTAGAAGGGCAGGCAGGCGGCGCCGGTGCGCTGGCAGCTGCTGCAGTTGCAGCCGCAGCCCCGGAGCAAGGCCCCTAGAACCCAGCGCGTCCCGGCCATGGGATCCGGAGGCGGTGCGGGGCCCGGTGGTGGCCGCTGTGGCGTGAGCCGAGGGAAAGCGGAATCCAGGGCGGGGGAGGGGGCACCGCGCACATGCGCCGCGCGCTCCGGGGGCTGAGACCGAGGCTGGGAGGTGAGAGAGCGGCTCCGCCTGGGCTCCGCCCTGGGGGCGGGGCTGTCTGGCCGGTAGGGGTGCGGCCGGAGTGACCTGAGAGCTTCGGTCCAGGTCAGGGTAGAGCTGAGAGGTTTCTGGAAGGAATGAGATATCCAAAACGTGTTGGGACGATGCTGAGGGGCCGTTGGTACCCTCAACCTTGAGATAGGTACAGAAGGCCAACTCTGATGGGAACTGCAAGAACTGGTTTTAAATTGTGTGTGGATAATTTATGTTATATAAAATCTCTATGTATAATATATATAGTATGAAGCCTTAAGACAGCAAAATCACAAGTGTATTATGAAGCCTTCCTTAGTAAGACAGCATAATCGCAAGTGGACATGCAGAGAGCTCACATAAATAAATGATGGGTGGTTGTTCAGTTTTCCTCCTGTGGCCAGGACCTGTCGAAGGCAAAAAAGATAAAGACGAATGAGAGTTCTTAGATTTAAAAAAAAAAAAAATGGGGAGGCTGGTAGTGTGGGAGAAATCTCTGGCGGGGGAGGGGGGGGATGTAGCTTGGTGGCAGGTGGCCCTACCTTAAACTTCACTCTGTAGACCAGGCTGGCCTCAAACTCAGAGAGCTCCACCAGCCTCTACCTCTTGAGTGCTGGGATTAAAGGAGTGCACCACCACTGCCCAGCCGAAAAAAAAGAAGAAGCTTTCTATCATGAAAAATTTCAACACATTTTCAAAATTCAGCTCTTTTAATTTCTAGAAATAAATCGATGTCAAAAGCGGCATCCACTGTCCCCTTTTGCCCCACTGCTGGCTAGCTCTAAAACATTTTCCCATAAGGTAAAATGTGTAATGGTCGACTTATGGTATTCATCTTAAACCAATACAGACTTTTTATTTAAATGTGTTGTGTGTCTATGGACACCAGACAAGGGCATTGGATCCCCTGGCACTGGAGTGAGAGGTGCTTGGTTGGAAACCATCTTGTGAGTGCTGAGGATTGAACCTGGGTCCTAGGAAAGAGCAGACAACGACCTTGAACACCAAGCCGTTTCTCCAGTCCCATAAAGTAACATGATGACATTAGACTCTTAGGTATTCAAGATTATTTTATTTCAGCTTTAGCTTGTTTACCCTGGGCTACTTGTAAATAAGGAAAGCTAAGTGTTTCCTAGATAAAAACCTTTCTCTGCCCAAGAAGAAAGAACAGAAAACCTGACTGGTTTGTGGTCTTTATACCTGAACTGTCAAAGAGAAGAGGCGTTTTCTCATTTCATCTGTGAGACAGAAATCCTAGCTCATTGGTTCTTAACCTTCCTAAGACTGCGACCCTTTAATACAGTTTCTCATGTGGTGCTGACTCCCAACCCTAAAATTATGTATATTGCTACTTTATAACTGTAATTTTGCTAGTTATGAATTGTGATGGATTAATATCTGTGTTTTCCGATGTGTTTAGGTTACCCCTGGGAAAGAGTCATTTGGCAGTCTCAGGGCCATGACCCACAGGTTGAGAATCATCCTGGAGGTTTGTCTGCCTTTTTTCTCTCTTCTTTCCAGTTCTCAGGGTGCGTCCTAGAGATGCCTCCCAAGCCCTAGGTCAGAAACTGTCCTCTGAGTTATATATTCCCAGCCAGATCCTACTAAATGTTTCCTTTTTAGTGCATCTATTTGTTCACTGTGTATGGGGAGGGTTGCAGGTGCCATGGCATTTGTGTGGGGATCAGAAGATAGCCAGGGACTCAGTCCCCTCCTTCCATGTGGATCATCGGGATGGAAATCTGATAGTTGGGCTTGGCAGCAAGAGCTTTATCCACTGAGCCATCTCTCTGGCCCCCTAAATTTTTCTTTCAAGAAAGAAGATGGATTATCCCTACATTGCAGATTACCATCCTAAAGTGCAATCTACTTCTATTCCTCTTCCCTTTTTGTATATGTGTGTGTGTGCTTGTGGAGGCCAGAGGGCAGCCTCAGCTGTCATCCTGTCACTCTTGACCTTATGTTTTAGCCAGGGTCCCTCACTGGCCTGGAGCTCCCTGCTTCCACTGACTTGACTGTGTCTCTCTACCTCCTGGTATAGTATACACCCTGGGGTCATGGATGCATACTAATGTGCCTGGCTTTACACTGGTGTTAGAGATCGGAACCCAGGTCACCATCATCACATAGCACTTTACCCTCTACCCTCTGACCCATCCCATCGACTACTCTTTTTATGTGGGTTTTCAAGACAGGATTTCTCTGTGTAACAGCCCTGGCTGTCCTGGAAGTTTCTTTGTAGACCAGACTAGCCTTGAACTCACAGAGATCCATCTGCTTCTGCCTCCTGAGTGCTGGGATTAAAGTCATGTATCACTACCACCTAAGATTTCTCTCTTTTTTTTTTTAACTAGGTGCAGCAATCATCCAAAATGTGTTAATCAAAATTACCAAAACCCAAAATACATAGAAGGATAACTTACGGCTTTTTTTGTATGTTTGTATGTTTTGTATGTTTGAGACAATGTCTTACTATGTAGCCCTGGCTGTCCTGGAACTCACTATGTAGACCAGCCTACCCTTGAACTCAAGAGATCTCGTGCCTCTACCTCCCGGGTACTGGGGTTAAAGGTCTGTACTAACCCACCCAGTTTTTAATCAGGAATAAAACCAAGGATTCAAATTAAAAACTCCTTTTTACTTACAGGAAGTTGGGAAGATTCTAAAGGAGAAAAGAAGCCAGAGACTTGTTCAGTTGCCTAACAAACATACGCTGTTCGTTTTCTGTCCCACGTGCAGTGCTGTGTGTGCCTTGTGCATCCAGAGATGTCACCAGCTTACAGGTGAACTATAAAGTGATGTTTGCCTGGGTGCATGTCTGGATTTACCATGTCTACAGAGGAAATGGTAGTTTTGTAAATTAAAACTAAGAACGTTTTGGGACATTGTAGCACTGCCAGGCACGGTGGCACAAAACCCAAGCAGTCGGGAGGCAGAAGCAGATCTCCGTGAGCTGGAGGCCAGCCAGGACTACTTAGCAAATTGTGAGTCAGCCAGGGCTGCCACAGAACTGTTTCAAAACAAAGAAACATTTGTTTAAGACTTCACTATTAGATTAGTGGTGTGTGTGTGTGTGTGTGTGTGTGTGTGTGTGTGTGTGTGTCTACAGCAAGCACTCAATCCCTGGAGCATCTCTCTAGCCCATGGTACTCTTTTTCATAATAGTTTGTAATATGATGACAGAAAGCAGAAGGCAGAAGAGATGGAAAAATAAAAATGAAAGACCCCAAGAGGTTATTTGGAGGTGAAGAAAGGGGTAAGGCACTCCAGGAAGTAAGGTCAAAAAGTTGAGTTCTGTCTGGATCAAATTTGATGCTATCGAAGTGGTGTTGAAGGGTTTGGCTGATAAGGACTAAGTAACAGGAGAAGCCAGGCAGGCTTGCTATATGGTGAGTTCCAAGGAAGGCAAAAAAGCTCAGGTACAGAGATAACTTCATCTGTAAGTTAGTCATAAAACACTGTTTTCTGGTTCTGTTATAGCAGTCTCTTAGGCATAGAGCTGGCCTTCCTTGACCTCTTTGCAGGTAAAGCTGGTCTGCATTGTTAGAAACACTAGTTGGGGGAAGGAAGGAGAAAAACAATCCCTCACAGCTCCACAGAACTTTTTTCTATGACCTGGGGCAGGGGGAGAGAGAGAGAGAGAGAGAGAGAGAGAGAGAGAGAGAGAGAGAGAGAGAGAGAGAGAGAGAGAGAGAGAGAGAGAGCGAGCGAGCGCTCTCTCTGGTCGCTAATAAATGAGTTCATTTTATTGTCTTTGCCCTTCCATTGTGAGAGGTGAGCATGCTCTTCCTCTGATGTGTAATGAAGCCGAATTCAGCTCAAAGGACCCCCCCACCCCGCCATACACAACCCTCTTTGCATTTGAAAGGAACTAGAAATCCTGAGCCACACTTGGCAACAAGCCTTGGGTGGCAGAAGGAATGAAAGTCAAACACTGTAAAGACAGGGCACCCATTTGTGTAACCTTGGGGTGAGGTGCTACTCAACATCCAAGATTAAAGGAGTTTATTAGGTTGAATGGGTGCAAAAAAGCTTTAAGAATTGAGGCTACCAGTTATTTCCAGGAAAAGTCAAAGAAATAGTGTTATCACCGCCTTCACGCCCTCATCCTTTGGAGAGAGCACCTGGTCCTCGTCACATACTTGAACTCATCGCTGGTACAGTGATGTGCATCTTAGTTCAGCTTTATCAGTTGGCTTAAGTTCGCTAGGAACAAATCTACACTAAACCGTTTTTGTCTCCCGTAGATCCCCTCTGCGAAGGAATAAAAGACACTTATTTCTGATTGACAGCTGACAAACGCTGCCACATCTCTGGTTAATATTGTACCAGGCCTCTGGGAAAGACAGCAGTTGGTTACTTATTTGAATGAAATGTTCTGTCAAGAAAGAATAATTTCAATATAAAGTAAAATGGATATTTTATATTATTTTTAATTACATTTTGTTAATTTTGCAGAGTTAGGGCAGGAGCATATGGAGGTCAGAGGACAGCTTGCCAGAATTGGTTCTCTTTGTCCACCATGTGGGTCTCAGGGATCAGGTTGTCCGATTTGGCAGCAAGCACCTTTGCTGACCCATATTTTTCTTCTTGAGCCTGAGACTTGCTGAGTCAGCATTACTATAAGAAGAGCAGTCTGGGGATACTTAGAAAATGGAACGATGGGGTATGGCATCTTCTAGCTCTAGCCTTGCTCATGAAGGCAGGGTGAAAGAGGTGTTTGCTGTTTGGCCGCTGAGCAGTCCTGTCTTCCTGTTTCTCCTAGAATGGCAAACAGTAGTTTATAACCATCTAGCCCCAGCTACAAAATATAAAAGAACTATGAACTCTGGCTCAATAGGAACCATCCTCAGTAATCACTTCTACATAGATAAGATATAAACGGTGAAACTGCAAAAGTGTATCTGCACACATGCAAAGCATGTGTGTGCACTAAACAGTGCTTCTACCCTCGGTTTAGTGCAGAAATACAAGTGTGTGCGCACAGTGGTTGCTTCTACCCTCAGCTTACTCTAGTGCAAAAATGTATCTGCACACATACTAGACTGTGTGTGCATGGTGTTTGCTTCTATCCTCAGCTTGCTCTGGAGAAAGAGCGTATCTGCACACATACAAGCGTGTGCACCCTGCTTCTATCCTCAGCTTGCTCTGGAGAAAGAGCGTATCTGCACACATACAAGCGTGTGCACCCTGCTTCTACCCTCAGCTTGCTCTGGAGAAAGAGCGTATCTGCACACATACAAGCATGTGCACACTGCTTCTACCCTGAGCTTGCTCTAGTGTCATCCAGCCCTCAAGGCAGATGTTCCCACTTTATTGTGAATTCCTTTCCGGATGGTCCTACAGTGTGTTTTCATGTCAATTTGGTGATTCCTCCGTACCTGGGGTTCCAGACAAGTTTTGCACCTGCCTGCTAAGCTGCAGTGCTCCCACACTGAGAGAAAATGAAAAGGACACACAATAGGTGTAAGAGAGAGCTTGTATTACACGGAACAGAGGACGCTGAGGAAAGGCACAGATGAGAGCCAGCAGTGAATCCGTGAGGACATCGGAAAGAATGCCCTCCTCCTGCAGGGACTTAAATTCTTTTTCCTCGGCAAAGAAGCTGCCCTACATCCTCTTATACCAAGCTAAATGATAAACAAATATTCCAGCAGAGTTGGAGAGAACAAACATACAAATAAAACACAAGACTTTAAAACTAGGCCTGCGGTGTTGGCGCACACCTTTAATCCCAGCACTCGGGAGATGGGGCAGGCCAATCTGTGTGAGTTCGAGGACAGTCTGGCTACAAAGTAAGATCTAGGACAGCCAGGGCTACACAGAGAAACCCAATCTCAAAAAAAAAAAATCAAAATGAAAACAAAAGCAAAAGACTTTAAATCAAGACATTTTCATATGGCTGTATCACATCTACCTTTGTGACTTTGATCAAGGAATTTATTTCTCTGAACTTTGTTTCCTAATTATAAATGCTAGCTGCTAAATTATATTGCTAACTATCCCATAGTGTGATGAGGTACCTCGCACATAGGAAGACCTGGAAACTGGTAACTATCGTTATTTTGTTATTGTTAAAATAGTAACGGTAGCAGTATTGTGTTTCTTCCCTCCAATCCCATCTCAGTGTTTACTTGTTGATAATCTGTCTTGACTCCAAAAGGGTATAAGGCAGCTAACATAAAAAGAAAACAAATTTTCTTTTAAACAACGTCTATAAAAAAAAAAAAAAGGAACTGTCAAGCTTAAGTTATGCTTCAAGAGGCCTGTTTAGCAAGCATATCCAGCATGTGGGACAGGAATATGCCCAGCTGGACAGCAGCACATAGGAGGTGGGATGTGGGTTTGGGGTTTGCATTGACTTCGTTTGGTTTTTTTGAGATGGGATTTCACTCTTGCCCACAGTAGCCTGAGAACTTGCTAGGTTGTCCAGGCTTGTCTTGAACTTGCAGGGAACATCCCACTTCAGTTTCCTGAGCGCTGTGATTATATATCTGCATCATGGTTTATTTGTAACATCTCTAGCCAAAAAAAAAAAAAAAAAAAACTGCAAACAGCCAATGTAAATTAGATTCTTATTAATTCTAAATTAGATCAGACTTTTCCCTAATGAACATAGAAACATACATCTTTAATTTGTTTTGTTTTGTTTTGTTTTCTAAGACAGGGTTTCTCAGTAACTATGGAGCCTGTCCTGGAACTAGCTCTGTAGACCAGGCTGGCCTCGAACTCACAGAGATCCACCTACTTCTGCCTCTTGAATGCTGGGATTAAAGGCATGCGCCACCACCACCGGAAACATTTTAAAACTTTTATTCATGTGCATAGGTGCCTGTGTACGTGTACGCCCGTGCTGTCAGAGGCCAGAGAGGTATCATATCTCCGGGAGCTGGAGCTTCAGTCAGCTGTGACCTGTCTGACATGGGTACTGGGACACTTGGGTCCCCTTCAGGAGCGGCAAGCACTGTTAGCCACTGAGCCATCTATCTCTTCAGCCCAGACACTTGAGCTTTTGAACAATCTTCCTGTGTGGTTTTTAACTGCATTTGTAGGCTCCTTTTATAACCAACACAAGAAGCAGGAGGAAGTACCCTTACAGTCATTTATGTTGTCATTTAAACAAAAGTCTGTGTAGGATGACATGGGAAATGATTCCACTGGTGTATAGCTCTACTCTGCTGGGCTGTAGTCATTTACACATCAGTTCATTCTCTCTGCTGCTTTAGGGAGAGTGGAGCTGCCGCCACGAGCATGACTGTGGGGCTCAACTCAGGGCAGATGCAAGACAAATGCTCACCACAGAGCTACACAGCAGCCCCCTCCACCTAGCACAATAACCATAATTTGATCTAGATTTCAGGATGGGACCAACTGGAATTAACAGATTTGGTTTGGTTTTGTTATTGTTTCTATGTGGCTCAGTGTAGACCAGGCAGGTCTCAGAATTCTCAATGTAGTTCAGGTTGGCCTTCATGTCAGAGACACTTGCCTCTGCCTTCCGAATGCCAGGATTAAAGACGTGTGCTACCACACCAGGGTTGGTAGGTTTTTTTGTTTGTTTTGTTTCTATGAACATAAAATAGTTGGGAACCTAAGTTATCATAAGAACTGTTCCCAGAAATTTCCAAGAAAGCTAATTATACCCCCTCCTACTGCCACCATCCATGACACTCCTAATACTCTGTGGGCATCGCCTGAAGTTCTTATCTCCATTAAATGTGTCTACTGATGGCATTTTAGCACTGTACCCACCCGTGCTAGAATCTGGCCCCTTGCAGCCCGCCCACAAGGGTCTGTCATTTTGTCACTCACTGGAGCTCTGTTACAGACGGTGACTCTGACCTGATCCTCTTCAATGACATGGAGTCAGGAGTTATCTCTTCTGAGATAATTCCTTCCAGAAATGATAATGCACGCTTTCTGTACTGCAGAAATTTGTAAAGGAATATAACCCTTTCTTTCAAAGTTCTCGGTCGCACAGCGTGGCAAACAGATGTCGAGTATGGAAACAAACTGTAGCGGAATGCAATTCGTAATTAGTTGCCGTAATAAAATTTCCTTAGGATGCCATTGGACTTCAAAGGAGGGGCATTTCACACGCTTATGGAATGGAAGATGACAAGAGTTGACATCAAAGTTGGATTGTAAAGAAATAAAGATTAACAAAATAAAAGAGAGACTTGCTATCCAAAGCCCAGGGAATTCCTCCCCACCCCAGAGAACCTGGAGAAGTCAGTGAATTTCAAATGGTTTATAGCAGGGATTTGGGGCTGGCTGGTGGAAGTAGGAACAGTAAAAGGCCTCACGCACGCACAGGTATGAGTGTGTTTTCTTTGTAGTGTTGGGCTCACACCCAAGGCCTTGGTCACGCTGGGTAAGAGCTCTACCACAGAAGGTCATCTTTAGCCTTTATGTTTGAAGCACTTGAACTTTATCTGGAAGAAGATGGAAGGGTTGCATATTGAAGTAGGAAGTGAAGAAAACTAGATTTATCTTTAGAAATACAGTGGATTCGAGGACGGACTGTAGAAAGATGAGAGACCAGAGGTAGTTGGAGGGCTGACGCGGTAACTCGGAGGAAAGCAGGCCTAGCGCAGGAGAGCGATGTCAAAAGCGGTATCCACTGTCCCTGAAGAATCATACCCTGAGAGAGCTTTTTCTAAGTCCTCCAGCAACCTGGCAAAGGCTGCCAGGAAAAGCAGCCAGCGGAGGTGTTAGTGGGAAAAGCTCTAATCCTCCTTGTCCTAAACGGGGAAAATAAATGGGCTCGTTAGGCTGTGCCAGAGCATAATAAAGTCTTTGGGAAGAAAAAAGTATTAAGGATTATTGAAAGATGCTAATTCAGCTTAATCCCCTTTACAGTATCCTCTGCCCAAGAGTGACTCCATCTATGGTGAATAATCCCAATAGCAGAGGAGCAAGCCTGTATGTCCCAGGAAAAACATGAGCTTTTCTGGCACGGAGGGGGAGGAGAGGAGGAGGAGGAGGAGGAGGAGGAGGAGAGGAGGAGAGGAGCCAGAGGGAGAATGGAGGGTTATTCAATAAGACTTGCAAGTACGGCTCCCAGGTGCTGCCTAGATTTTCCCATTGATGTCATTTCACTCTCATCACGAAATTCATCTGTGATTTGAGGACAGGTTTTACAATGGGTAAAGGAAGTGATTCCCTAAGGCACTTGTGGGGCCAGGAAGCAAAGCTTTTCTTCTCTCAGCCCCTCCCTACCCTAACATATCATAGGGTCTCAAATCCACCATTAGCATTTCTGAAGACATTAAGTCACATTAAGGTGTTAATGACCTATCAGATAGCCTTCATCCTAGCATAGGGACCCTAGGAATTACAGAACAACCAGCAAACGGTCCCTTGAGATGCCCAGCCGGATTCCTAGCAATTGTCCCAGGGGGCTTAATTAAATGTATTAAGGCCCAG